ATGAAAGTAATACTTACCCTACAGATACAACTGTTCGAATTTAGTGTCTCTCGATAAGACTCTTTTTAAACACTAAAATGGTTTAATAAATTCTAATTAAATTTATTTTTTAAAACAATTCCTACCTAGAAGAGAGGAAAAGGAAAATTTTGCTCTTAATTGGTGTTGAATCACAATCTATGAAAGAAAAGAAGTATCAAATGAAAACTTTTAACTACCTACTCTTGAGATTATTAACGGTTAAATTTAAATTTTAAAATCATCCTCAATACGTACTATTATATTTTTGTAACATCGTATTTACTTTTGTTGTAGAAACACTAATATCATGCAATGCGCTTGTAATCATATAATATGTCAAGTTTTTTCTAAAATAAAATATAATTATAATTCTTTTACCTTTTTTATAATATGGTTATTCATATGTATTTATGATATAATTTTGTCTATTACTATTAGAGTTTAATATTCCATGTTATATTTATCATGACACACCTTTTGGTTAGAAAAAATCGATGATTTTATATAGATATATTTCTTTTTGCAACAATTTATTAATGCATTTAAAATTATTCGCGAAACAATCAATTAATTTAGTTTTTTTTATTCTTCACGCCTACATCAATATTATATCTACTTCTAAATAGAAACAAAAATATCATTAATAATTACTATTTTTTTTTAAATGAAACACATATTTAAAGGAATGCGTTGGTTTTATTTTTCTCCTTGTCTTTTGAATTTTCGTATTGAGAATATATTATTTTTTATCTTATCTTTTGTTTAATGAAAAATTAATTTTTTATTAAAAATTGTTAGTTATAATTTATTTCCTTCTTGTTCATCTTAATTTAGGCATTGACAACATTTTTTTAAATAATAATCTCTTTAACTTTTGTACCTGAAAATTAAAAATTAGTGATTTACAAAAGCACGTCAAAATTAGAGGCCTGTCTGCCTGCTTGTCTGTCTCCGCCGGAGCACCGACTCGTAAAAACTGAAAATATCCCATGCTAAATTCACAACAAGACGGGCAAAGGCAAAGCAGGCTTGTACGAACGAGTGAGATTTTTATCCCACCTAATTTGCTTTGTTTGCGGCCGGCGGGCATGTAAACTGCTTGTCCTTCCAAAAACTAATCGGACAATCATAATCTTTTGTACAAAAAGAGCCATTTATATTGATGAAGCACACTGTCCATTCAACAGAAATCCATCTACATGCAAGAATTTAGGAATAAAATATCTGAACCTTTGATTTTGTGGTCAGATTTATTCCTTTTGCAAGTGATCTTTCATTTGTACAATGATCTTCTCCCAAAGGTTTCCACCTGAAATCCTACAACAGAAAAGGAAATCATAGGGTTTCAGAGTTATATATTCTTAGCTTGATTTTTTTTCTGTGTTTTTTTTTTTTTGAATAATTCAGATTTTATTACCCAAAATAGTACTGTTTGCTACAACCAATCAACAAAAGAAAAACTATAAGCAGCCTAATAACAAAAAGAAAACTATAATTCAGATTTCTTTGTGTTTTATGGTGAAAGATCGAATCAAAGTTTCACTTTATATTACTACATAATTTAAATTGATTTAATTCTAATTAATTTTTGGTGTTTAAAGAATTTTTGGTTTAAAATAGGTGCCCATTGTTTTCTTCGTTATATTATTAGGTGCTTACCGTTAAAGAAAATCGTTAAGTGACATGTATCATATTTATATTAAAAAAACATAATATTATTTAAAAGTATATATATTTTTTAAAAACTGAACGTGACATGTTTCATCTAACGGTTTTTTTAACAACATACCCCTAAAAGTGTAATGTAGAAAACATTTGACATTTATTTTTTAACGAAAAATCTTTAAACACCAAAAAATAATTTTAAATATAATTTAAACATTTATTTTTATATTAAAATTTAAATAATTAACATATATCATATATTTTATATACCAATAAAAATCTAGATTTAAATAAATAATTTGATTTAAACTTATCCCGACAAAGAACATGTACCGATTGTACACACTCATAACCCTAACCATTGAAATTGCTTTCAAAATCTCCCTTCTTATTTTCTTTTTAGGGTAGCCAACCAATCAACGGGAAAAAGAAACCTTTTTTCTTTAAAATAGTAAGGAAAACGTGCCATGCTCCTCCCATTGGTTATTTGTTACATCCCCCGACACGTGTTTGCTTATCTGTCCCGATTAATATAGACAAAAGAAAATATTAACATTGATTAAAATTTAAGATAAAGTACACAAATAATCCTTTGATTATAAAATATTATTTTATTAAGTTTTTTAACTGTTGAAAATTATAAAATAGTCTCTCAGTTATAAGACGAAATTTGGTTGAGTCTCCTCACTATAAAAAGTTACAAATGATCATCTGACTATTCATATATCCCAAACTAGTCTTTTTTTTTTTGTTAAAAATAATGGTTGTTTGAGTTGGACGTTAACTTACTGACTGAAATTTTATAAAATCGTATTTTAATGATGTCTACTGGCACCGTCGCTGCTTTCAAGCACTAGCTCGATGACATAATGTTTCGAGCACTAATTGATGACATAATGTAAATGGATACTCGTTCTATAAAATACATCGCAAACGATTTTGTAATAAGATTTAACGTTTTTGTAATAAGATTTAACGTGTTTCAGTCAGCATGTTATTGTCCAGCCTAGAAGGTCGGCAATTTTTTAACTAAAAATGATTAGTTTAGAACTTATAAATAGTTGGTGACCATTTTGTAATAAGATTTTTCGAGTTCAGTCAGCATATTAACGTCCAACTTCAATTTTTTTCATTCAATTCAACTGGAGTGGACCAAATACTCACCCTTGCATAGGGGTGTATTCGGTTCGGTTCGGTTCGGTTTTTTACCAAAAATTGAACCGAACCGAAATAAACGGGTTTTCAATATTTAAACCGAAACCGAATAGTTAAAAAATCGAAAAAAACCGAAATCGATTTTTTCGGTTCGGTTCGGTTTTTTTAACGGTTCGGGTTTTTCGGTTCGGTTCGGTTTATCGGTTTTTCAATAAAAAAATCACTTGAAACTATAATTTTTTTTACAAAAATTGCCTATTCGGTTCAATATGGAACAAATGGGTTCCATATGGAAAACCCGAACCGAATCAAAAAAATAAAGTCTTTAAACCGAACCGAAAATCGAACCGTTTAAAGCCAAACCGAACCGAACCGAACCGTTTTACTCGGTTTGTGTCGGTTTTTCGATTTTTTCGATTTCGTTGCTCAGCCCTACCCTTGTATATAAACCATCACCAATAACCGATTTTTTTAGCCATTATCGTGGGCCCCAAAATTATTTAGGGAAAAGGGGTGCCAACAAATTATTTCGGATGTACGATATTTTTTACAATACAATTGGAACTCGTCACCTCGAAGTGACGAGTTTTATCTTTAAAAAATCTAAATTCAATATTAAAAATCTGAAGAAAAAAATAACTTTTTAATAAAACTCGTCATATTGACAAGAAATATTAAAATAATGATCCTCGAATATGAAAATAATATATCATAGAACTCGTTATCTTAAAATGATAAGTTTCCTTTACATTATAAAAATACTGTAGATCCTAAAATAATTTACTAGTACTTTTTCCTTAAATAATTTTGGGGCCTACTGTAATGAGAAAAAAAACCCAATAACCACATTTCCATTTTTTCATCCCAACCCAACCCTTTATGACGCAAACATGTCAATCCAACCCTAGACCAAGGAGCCGCTCTCTTGCACGTAACTTTTGACTATTCTTTTTTCCATTGTTTTCGTATATTTATATAATTGCAAATTCCTTAAAAGTAAGTAAAATAAATAAATTAAAGCGGAAACCAAGGCAACATGCTTTGACACTCACAGTTATCTAAGAGTCTAACTAGAAGTTTTATTAATGTATTGTTTGGGATATATTATCGGGAATATTATTTTTTTTATGTATTGTTGATTACCGGCGTTTTGGATTAAATGTCCTTAATTTTTTTTTTCAAAAATATTCTTCTGTCATTGAATAATAAAAATGCTACGAAGATTAAATTACAAATTTATCCTTAAATTATTTTAGATTTATAAAAAAAAGTCTATAATTAAAATTTTATATGAAGTGAAGGGGTTAAAATAAAATTTTACTATTTCATTAACATTTTTATATTTTTAATTTTGTAAAAAAAATATATAAATTTTATGAATTTAATTTTTTTTAAAAGATAATATATAAATATTTTTCAACTTGTTAAAAAAATAAATATATAATAAGGACAATTTAATCAAATATGTATTCCAATAATCTTTTATTCCTTTAACCAAACACGGTAATCTTACATTCCTGCTAAACCAACCAAACACAAAATATATTCCCAATAATTCTATTCCCTAATAATCTTTTATTCCCACCGATAATCTTACATTCCGTGACCCTAAGGATTTTACTAACAACAAACGAGGAATGAACACTATTATTATTCCATACCAACTCGTTCCTTGTCCACCAGGACCGACAACAGATCATGCAATACTCCTCCACAATGTTGTTGAAATAATTTTCTGTCAAGGTCTTAAAACAATCAACAAAAGAGCTGACAGGTAATGGAAAATCCTGACCCCACCCAAAAAATTTCAACAATCAACAGCAAAGCATGACCGGAATCGTCCACTCCGCACTCCCACATCGATTGCAAGTAAGGATAACCTCTATGCCTCTCTCAACAACCTGAGCCTTTGACGGTTACAGTCTCTGTAAAGCCCTCCTCATGATTTCCACCATCTTCGGAGGAATATGCAATCGCCTCAATCTAGCCCAATTAATCAAATTAGGATTATCCAAGTAATATACACTCCATCCTGTCCAACCCAACGAACAAAAAGTTCGGCTTTAGCTCAACTATGTATAAACCTAGCCCAACCCAACCCAACTATTTAAAATATTAAAGAAAGCTAAACCCTAAAAGCCTATCTTTACCATCTCATATCATTTTATAACCAGCCGAATTGGTTCCGCCCCCTCGCCAGACCAGCCGGTGGTCACGGCAGTAATCTGTTGGACTTTCCGTGCATCTGGTAAGCTATGTGTTGTAAAAAGCTTCACCTTGTTGTCAAGTTTCTTGTGTGAAGAGATAGATATGCATGGATAAGGGAATAAGTTTAATTGTCTTGGATTTCAAATGTGAATAAACTTTTGATGTTAAGCCTCATTGTTGACTTCGAATGCCGTTTTTAATGAATGTTTAACTAATATATGTTTGTGATGAGCATTGCTTAGCAGCGTGGAATGTTTTTCTTATAAAGAGGTACTTTTGAATAGAAATGAAGGTGATGAAGTACAGCAGGTACTTATGACCGTTTCCAGCCTCGATGTTTTTCTGGTGCAGTCAATTTGTACTGTACCGAGCATCCGATGGGTTGTTTGACTGAATGAATACAGAATTTTGTACTTTCTGATTCATTTTCTATTCCTATAACCTAATTTAACATCTCCGCAGACACAAATGATTGCAGCTAAAGCATTATAAAGGGATAGGAAATCTGTGTTCCTAGCATCAAAACAAAATGATTTCTTCTGAATTTTGAACATCTGTATCAAGGGTTATTTAATTAGAACTCACCTTATTAGAGTCTTTATTTGTGAATTAGAACTTCCGGGCTAGCTCAGTTGAGCATGCGGTTCATTGTAGTCTGGGATGAATTAATGATTTTATCTCAGTGGTGTGAACTTTTAATAAGTTCATTAGAAATTTAGGAGTGTGAAATTACAAAATTTCAGGGGCACGAAATTAGATCAATAGGAAATCCAAAGAAAATACATAATTATATGAGAATTTGAAATTCTTAGGGAGTGACACTCGGTCCATCCGTGATTGTAGTCCATAAAATTTTATACTTCACATGATGATAAAATTTACTTGTACAAGTCATAAAGCATCACGCATGTGATTGTGATTCAATTTAGTGATATTGATTGTATTGATTCATGCGTTGCTTTCTACGTTTTAGGCTTCTTTCGGAGGTGGCTTCAATTTTGCTTGCCTCTATCTTTACTCATGTATGGTTCATCCTTGTTGCCGCATAAGTTTATTCTTTATCCCATCTGTTCTTCCTGTAACTAATCTGATCACATTTATTTATTTGAAACTAAACTCCCATGCATACTCTTACCAATTTAAGGCAAAAGGATTAATTATTCTATTTAAAAAAAAGTTGTGCATTCAAATTCATCGGTTAATGGTTGAACGATATGGAAAGAGAGAACTCTTAGTGAAGGTAAAAAGGATAATTTGCCTCTTGATGAGGACCAGCCAATCCAGACACAGAAGAGCTTGGAAGAGAAAGCCGACTATCTTTTACGACAAATTGAAGAACAACGACGGACTATAGGTGACTTAAACTTCAAGGTATGCGAGCTTATCTTGTTGATGATACGCTATGTACATTTGATTCACAATGAGTTGTTATCCTTCATTTGTAACAAATTTGCTTGGAGTTACCAAAAATGTAGTACAGACCATAACCATCAATGATCAGCGATTTGATGTTTCCAGAGAACATTGGTACTTTCTGACAACTTTATCGTATCATCCTTGGGAAAATGTTGAATCGAAAATGAATATCGCTTGTCAATGAATCATCATGAGCCAGACATTTTTACGATCCATGCAAATAATATGGACTTCGATCACGTGCCCAATAACTATGAAATGTGATTCTTTGTTCAAATCAAAAGATGTCAACTACAATACACAATCACAATCTTCACTTTTGAGTATTATACCTAAAATAATTCTAAGTTTTTCAGTAGATACAAAAGTAAAAAAATTAAAAGTTCATGATAAAGAAAAAAGTAAAGGAAAAACACTAAAAGGTACGAAAAAAAATTAAATCTATCAAGAGAAAAAAGTCAGGCTATATGTCAAGAAGTTACCCCATAGAGATTGCTTTAATCTTATAGTACATATAGATGAACAAAAATATTTATTTTATAAATAAAAGTTAAAAAATATATCATATGTATTTAGGGCGAGCAAAAATCATTTTCTCTTGATAAAATTGAATTTTTAAAAGGAATAATTTGATTTATTTATTCAATTCAAAATTTTGTTTGAATTTTGAGTTTAAGTTCCCTTTAAATTTGTAAAGTTGGAATAATTAAAAAAATAGAAATTAAAACGATATTATTTTGGTATTTAATTAAACTATTTGATTGTTTTGAGAGTTGATCTATAATTTTCTTGTTTCTTTAGTTCATTTTTCGTTTGAGTCCATTTCGATCAAATTTGAATCACAAGTTCTTCGGTCACAATGAAATACTTATGTAGCTTTAATTACTTTTGTTGACAACAAATTTCTCTCTCTCTCTCTTAATTTAGTTCTTTTAATTTTATATGACTTTCTTATTTCTTCATTTCATCATTTATTTTAAGTTCATTTTGATCATTTTTGAATTATACTCGCCTTGTAGAATATTTATGTAACTTTAATTCTCTTTTTGTCAACAAATTTTTTATTTTTTTCATTTTAATCCCTCAACTATGTACTTTATTCAACATTGTTCTTTAATTGTAATTCTTTACAAATTCTTTCTTCTCGTAAATTCTTCGAGTCCTTTATACATCAATTCTTTGCCATTTATATCCTTTCTTTAAAAAATAACATTGTAAATATATCATATAATTTTAGATTATATTTTATTTATAAATAATAATACAAATCTTACTTAGACATGAAAATGAATATATTCATATTAAATTAGAATTAACCGGTATCATAATATTATAAATAATTATATTTAAATTCAAATAAATATTTAAACAAATATATTTGACTTATCTCGACACGAAAAAAATAAAAAAATTGAATAATAAAACAATAATTATAAAGTCAACAAATTTAATTTTTTTGCTCGACTCGATCGAATGCTTATTTAATTTTTTTTGGTGAAAGGTATGATCAAGAAAGGGAATCATACACGAGAAGATATGAGTACGGACTTCATTAAAAACTTCCATAGTCCTATACAGAGGAAAATAGTACCCATATAAATATCATAACAAATAGCTGACAATGGTACCAAACCAAATTATCTAGGAACTAGATCCGCATGAAGCATCGAATACATTATTTTTTTTATAATTCATTTGAAATTGAAACTTCAAAGTGATTTATATATTTAATCGGTAGAATTGTAAGCATGATGAAAAATTATAATAAGATACGAAAATAAAAACTTATGCCACGTTAAGATGTTTTTAAGACAAGCCATTAAATTTGAAACCCAACTAAACTATGGCATGGGATAATTTTATTGATAAATATGGATAAAGATATTTATATACATTTGAGTTGTTAATGCACATAATAATAATAATTAAAAACATTGTACATAATAATAATTAAAAACATTGTACCGAATCTCAATAACAAGAATGAATATATACACTTTCGTCCTAATGCATGCATAACTAAAGAAAAGGAAAAGGACTAGATATGGCAAGACAAAAAAGTTACCTACTTGGTCGGCTATAATGGAAAATTTTGATGGTATGTAAAAATAATTTCAGTTGCATATATTTACTATATTTAATTAGTATAATTTGAATTGTATGTAAAAATAATTTCCATTGTACTCTTCGATTTCAAGAGAAATAAGAGTTAATACAATAATCATTATCATTCACAACTTATGTCAATCATTATAAATATTATATATAAATTTATTATATGTTAATTTCGGAATTGGTGAGTCAAATATATATTAAAATATTCATTATTTATTAAAAAGATCTTCAGTCAAAACTAAATTTTAATTAAAATTGGTCACTAATATGAATTTTAGATATAAGAAAAGTACTTATATCATTGCTTTTCAACTCTTTAGTTTATTTTAAAAATAAATTTAAAGTTTTTCTTTATAATAATTAATATATTTTAAAATTTAAATTTATAATTACTACAATTAAATATGGTAAGAAAAGAATATAAGGAATTAGAAATTGATGAGGAATGAAATTGGCGATCCCTATCCTTATCGATTTTCTCTTTTTATGAAATACGTGGGTAATTAGTATTATTTAATGTATTCAGCGAAAGAATTTTGGGATTATTATATCACTAATTGATCGGTTATAAATAGTCCAAAATCAAACAAATTTTTCTATAAAGAAAACCAGAAGTAGTCGTCTTCGATATCTGGGGCAGGAGAAAGTAAAAAGATGAGCGGAAATCCGATTTACCCATCAAAGTTCACTCTTTATGTCGGAATATGTTGGATTCTTGCTGCTTTTGGTGGCCTTATGTTTGGCTACGACATTGGAATTTCAGGTCTGCCAACTTCTTTCATTATATATATATATATATATATCCAATTTTTTATATATGAAGAAAATATTATGACCCTGAATCTTTGTCCAATTATTGTCTCGCTGTTATATTGTAGATCTAAGCTTGAATCTTTGTTTTCTATGTGATGTTCATGATTGGATCTCATATACTAATATTATGAATATGAAAATGAATATGAAAAAATATGCAGGTGGGGTGACAGCCATGGATGACTTTCTGATTAAATTCTTTCCCAAAGTCCATGAAAGAAAGATGCATGCAAAGGAGGATAATTACTGCAAATATGATGATCAATATCTTCAGCTTTTTACGTCTTCACTCTATCTAGCAGCTCTTGTTTCAAGCTTTTTTGCTTCAAAAGTTTGCACCAAATTTGGCCGAAAGCCGACGATTTTAGCGGCTTCTTTGTTTTTCCTTGCCGGAGCTGCCTTAAGTTCCGGTGCTCCGAATCTCTGGATGCTTATTATCGGACGTGTGCTCCTTGGCATTGGCGTTGGCTTTGGGAATGAGGTTAGATTGGATTCAAATCATACATATTTATGTTATTGAATTTTATCTTCGATCATGCTCCGGTGACTGATAAAAGTTAATTGTGCAGGCTGTTCCATTGTTCCTGTCGGAGATAGCCCCAGTCCAGCATCGTGGAGCCGTCAATATTCTCTTTCAACTATTTGTAACCATAGGGATATTAATTGCAAATCTGGTCAACTATTGGACATCAAAATTGCACCCCTATGGATGGAGAGTGTCTTTGGGGATTGCCGGCGTACCAGCCGCTATATTGTTCATAGGTTCTTTGATCATCACCGAAACTCCAGCGAGCCTAGTCGAGCATGGAAAGGAGTCGTCAGGGTATACAACACTGCAAAAGATTAGGGGTGTCAAGGAAGTTGATGTCGAGTTCCAGCAGATTAAGAGAGCTAGTGAAATAGCCCAGGGAGTGAAGCAACCTTTCAAGAAACTCCTGACCCGCAGCAGCATGCCCCCTTTGATTATTGGCGTCATGCTTCAAGTTTTCCAACAGTTTACAGGGATCAATGCCATTATGTTTTATGCTCCCGTTTTGTTCCAAACAGTCGGATTCAAGAACGATGCTTCGTTGTTGTCCTCGGTGATTACTGGACTCGTAAACGTTTGCTGTACCCTCGTCTCGGTTGTTTCGGTCGACAGGTTTGGTAGGAGGATACTACTCCTTCAAGCTGTGTTCAGATGTTTATAAGTCAGGTATGCATCTATCCATCAGTTTTAACCTAGATATCCAAATCTTCACCAATGTTGAGTCCTCATAGCAAGTTTATATATGATACCTGCAGGTTGTAATTGGGGTAATTCTTCAACGTGACCTAAACGCCACGGATTCACTATCAAAACCCGAAGCAATTGTGGTCGTGTTTTTGGTGTGTTTGTTTGTGTCGGCTTTTGCTTGGTCATGGGGTCCTCTTGGGTGGCTGATACCTAGTGAAACATTCCCTCTCGAGACTAGAACGGCTGGATTCGCTTTCGCTGTCAGCTCCAACATGCTTTGCACCTTCATCATAGCCCAAGCATTCTTGTCGATGCTGTGCCATATGCGCGCCTTGATATTCTTCTTCTTCGGGGGCTGGATACTTGTCATGGGAATCTTCGTGTATTACTTGCTACCTGAGACTAAAAATGTGCCCATCGATGCCATGGTCGACACCGTCTGGAATAAACACCGTGTCTGGAAAAAGTTTACAGCCGATGAAAATTGAACGGGGGATGATATATATATATATATATTCATATTAGGCCTAGGGGTTGTTAAATTATTTTCATTTTTCATAGGATAACTTTAGGATTTTTGTAAATGTTTTTTATAGTATAATATTTGAAATACGTATTAAATATTTTTTTATTTTCTCACTACTTGTTTGTTAAACTTTATTTAAGTTTTATGTCTACGTTTCTGGGAAATAATTTCTTCTAACTTGGGTTTTTGATTTTTTTTTGTTTTCTTCAATTTTAAGATTTAAGTATTTTTAAACTCTATGTCTAAATTTAATTTTTCCCCTTTAATTGTATGGAATTATGATATTATTTCAATTGGTAAAAATATGAAGAAAAAACTAAAAAAATATAATTTTAGAAACCAACGTGTTAAAATTTTTATTTGGACTCATAAAATGATATAATTAAGATTTAGTCCTTCTAAAAATTATACAGGTAGAAATCAACACATTA